GCACACCACTCATTTGTGTGAGTGTATGTGTGTGTGTGTGCAGCTGCGTGCAGAATACACGAAATGGAGCATTAAGTGGGTGCTTTTAAATTTCTGTACGGTTGAGAAGCGTGTTCAACTGTGGATATCCTCTGCCGCCCACACACACACACACTTACACTCCTCTGCGGCGACAATGAATATTTCACATTCGCTCTTAATGTTGCACTGATTTTTCTGCAATAATTACGAAACAATGGCCACTTTACGCTCGCTCTCCCATCGCACAGCTTAATCACAAAGTGCAGTTGTTGTTGTTGTTCAGCGTCACTTGTGGGTTGTGTGCGGCTTAAGCGCTTGTGTGTGTGCGTGCTTTTGTGGCAGGTGCATGGCTGGCATTTTGCGGCCAACTCAGTGTCGCTATGCGGTTATTAATTGTTTGTTGCGTGAAACGTGGTAATAACGCGGTACTGTTGTTGCATTTTAATCGCTTTGAAAACCGTTACAATATTTATTGGTGGCATTTCAAAAGTGTCAGGATAGAAAATAAATATGTCTGTTGGTGGTTAGCTTAAATAAATTGAATTTCGTGGCAAGTGAAAGTGTTTTTTGTTGTAATGATTTGAAAACTGCAGAGTGAACTCACATTTATTTATATTTGTTCAGCAAATTTAGAAAATTATGGTTTATTAAATTTTTAAAACGTATGTTTTGGTCCAAATAATTATTGTTTTTAGTAGTAAAATAATATAAGAAATCAATTATTAAGAGTTTGTGTTTTAACTGTAGCAGTAACTTCACTTTTATTTAGGCAATAACTCACATCCTAATCATTATTTTACATTGAGTCTATACCTAATCTATCTAATCTATAACATTGTTCCATTCTTTTTGGCGAATTGTGGATTCCATCCCAAAAGAACTGTGTCGGCTTGACGACCAAGAATGAATCAAGCTAATTTTTGATACCCTGTTCTGATGTGAAACATATTCTAGTGAGGACGTTCTGCATCGATCGGAACAAATGGTACTCAGAAGTGGCAAGGTTTGGGCTATGAAGCTGGTGAGGCAACACTTCCAATCCGCTGTTTTACAAATAGCTTTTAACTGCTCTTGCCACATGAGATCGCGTGTTGTCATGATGGGAAATTATTGCTTCACGTTTCGTCGCAAATTACGTGCGTTTTTTGGCAATTGCTTGTTTCAATTTAATAAATTGTTGTTCCCCGTTAATAGTTTTTACTTAAAGCGTGATAAGTCAATGTCTAAATACTAGATATGGTACATTTAACCACGCCTACTTCCCATATAATACAGTTTTAAATTCCATCTGATACATTCACTTTCCAGTATGTTAATCAAGTACCAATAAATGTATCGAGATAAAACTTTGCACGAATAATGCCTTTAAAGTTTGCCATATAGAGACCAAGAATTGTACAAATCGAATCGAAACTGTTCAAGCCCCTAGTTATCGAATATGTGGACCCCAGTACTTATAGTTGACTTTTTACCGAAAATATCGGTCAATATGTGAGATATATAATTGAAATTCAGAGAGTAACCTTTGCTGATAATAGTATGTCTGTATGTCGAAAATGGGTTGAATTAAATATACAAAATTTTGAACTTTCGGGTGAATTTATACCGCATGTAACTGCCAATATGTGAGTTATTTTAATGAAAATGAGAGCGCATGTTTCACTCATAACAGTGTATATTTGTGCCTAAAATGGAAATCAGGATTTTCGAACATCCGGCAGACTTTACTCCATATGATGGTGGAGGTATGTGAGGCACCTTAATAAAATTCTGACAGCATTTTATTAGCAAAGTCAAAACTAATGCAATGAACTCGTCCCTTTCTCTAGAATTGGTCTAAACCTCATATTCTTAATATAATAAATTGCCATCCTCTGGTTAACGTCTGCCACATTAACTCAATATATTACTTTTACTATCTTCGGTCGAGTTCTTGTCACATATGTACATGTTATTATATCATTTGAAGGTGTTTTTAATATAATTTTAGCTGACGTGATCTAAAACATAGCAATAAAACTAAGTTTAAGCTTGTGGCTTTCAATATAAGTGGTGGAATGATCTCGCATAATTAAGCTTGATAAATTGCTTAAAGTGTATGAGTTAATTATTAGCAAATTCAATTAACCAATATTCACTTAATTGAACTCTTGATTCGATAAGGAAATCTGTTCAATTGAGCAACTTAACTAATTAACTTCATTTATACTATCTCTGACGGTCTTCTCTATACCACATGTTTGAAATCGAGCTTTGCTTAGAAGGTAGTTCTTTAAAAATTTTACACTTTGAAATTTAGTCGATTTTAAAAGGTTTTAAATATATCAAGAGGAATGGTTTAAACAATATTGTACAATATATTAAACACAATTTTTGGCAATAATAAGACACTGGCGTCATTTCTCGTAGACATGTTCGTGTTATTCGAAATATTTTTGAGGATTTTTTTCTAATTTAATAAATTGCATAAGCGATCAGCACAATATTAAAATACGACTGTGTATTAAATTTCATTCGGATATCTCAAAAAATTGACAAACAAATTTTCATAACTCTAAAAGATAAACTTCGCCTTGAAAATCACTGGGTCCAAACCAGTTTTAGACCCATAGTTTTTTAGACAAAGTTATCGAGAATGATACGTAGACTCCGCATATGCTATTTTGCTGTTTTGTCTGTTTTGATTAATATAGTGTCAATTAATTTATATTTTTCAATTTAATCAATGTTAATAAGTGGTTTTTTTATTTCATGCAATTATATAAATCATTTGAGTAAAATATTATCAGTTATTTCTTTTACTGCAGTCAAATGTTGTTTTGTATATCTATTTGCATATGCACATATTTTCGAGTATTTGCTAAACTATTCGACTGCACTTGCCTCTCTGTTTATTTGTTGAATTCAATTATGAGTTATGCATGCCAAAACTACATTTAAAGATAGATATACATACATATGTACGTACACAAGTATATACTCGCTTTATCCCAGTTGTAGCTACTTTTGCTTATCCGAGTAAGGTAATCACATCAGCCACTTCGAGTCAATTAGTTTCAATTACGACACACATGTCAGAAAATGACACTCAACTTAGAATGGCAGTACGATGATAAAGAAGAACAAAACAAAAAAATATTAAATTAAAAATAGCGATATATTCGAAATAGAGACATTCTTAGAAAATTAAAGTTATTCAGAAAATATTTTCTTGCTTTTTTGTATGACTAAAATATATTTTTTAATAAACATATTTTATTTTTTCGATTGAAATGGAGATCGAGAACTCTTAGACATGTATGATATATACATATATACTCGCTTATCTATGCATAAAAATGAAGCCTAGAATTATTCATTCACAGCATTTCTGCAAGCTTTGCTGCTTTGTGAAGTTGTTGCTTTCGGTGGAAATTGCAATTGCGCAATAACACACATCTGTCGAATCTAACGCAAAGTAGCATCAATTATAAGACTAGTGCGAAATGTCTTAGTGTCTCTGTGTGTGCCAATTATGCAATGTGCAAATTTATGCGTTTGACTGCAAGGCGAGTGCCCAAGTGTCAATGACCAGGTGCCTACTTGAGGTTCTTGAACAAGGTATGGCAATTTAATTTAACAACAGAGAAACAAAGGAACAAAGGTACATGAAAATGTCAAATGCATCATACAACTTACAATACATACATATGTATATATAATTACATATATCATATATTATTAAGATAATCATTCGGATCTTATAGAATTCATTTAGAAAATAGTTCTTCATGATGTTCTTGTAAGGCATACGCTTTTTGGCTTTCTATGGCGTCGAACGAAATTAATGTTCTGACTATATATTAATTTCTCATCTAAATTTTTCGATAAACATTAAGAAACAAACTCGTTTTCAATCTTTTTCTGTGTTTATGAAAGCTTGATTGATATTCTCATGGCGCTGTTTGAGAAACGCTATTTTTATACCTTAAACGGGGTTTGTAACACCCAGAACGAAACGTCGGATACCCTGTCATTAAAACTGAAGGGTCGGAATAATATTCTGACGAGATATCTTTACGAAATGTGGCACGGGTTATTATCTAAGGTAATGGCGCCATTTTCAAGGAAATTTTTAGATCGAATCACCATAGCATATAGCTGTCATACAAAGTGAACGATCAAAATGAAGTTCTTGTAAGGAATCTTTTGTATTTAAGAAGGGTATTACAGCTTTGATGCAAGTAAACGTTATTTCTTTTTTTAATTTTAGTTTTGAAAGGGAGAAAAAAAAATTATTTTAAATTAAAAAACTACTTATATTTAACAAAAAAGTTCATTAGTTTTTAACAACAATTACTCACTTACTGCATTTTTACTTCGAAATTTGATTGAACAATTGTCAGCTGTCAAACCGTGACTTATGCTTCAGCAGCGTGACGTCATTATAGCAATCGCTAATAGCTTTGTACGAATTAAATTCAATTAAAGAGACAATTACAAAGAGCGAACCAATCAGCAAAATCGAAGCGAGCAATTCAAGACATGCGCTAGTAATTATGTACTTCTGTATATTTCATAAATACATATAGGATATAGATATGTATATAGTATATGACTTCGTACTTGCATTTAGCGTAATGTTAATGACTTTGCGTTGCGTAAAACCACACAGTGTTGCAATTGAGGGTAGTAGGTCACCGTTGACCATACAGTACATTAAAATGCATCCAAGTGTGCGTGATAGCTCGTAAACGCATACAGAAACACATAATTTCCCTTTGCATTCCGTTGCACTGCGGCTACTTTTGAATTTGAGCTGAATTCAGCTCAATACATATTTGATTGATATTTTAATTGGAATTATTGATGCGTCTCTCAAGCATACAAATGTACATATGTATGTATATGTATATAAATAAGTGTAATAATTTTAATATATATATCCGCTTTAATGAATTTAACTAAATATTTTCTCGTTTTTTTTTGTTCTTTTGCAGATAACAATCATCGAACGCCAAGTATTCGACTTTCTCGGATATATGTGGGCGCCCATTTTGGTCAACTTCTTTCACATAATTTTCATTATATTGGGATTTTATGGAGCATATCACTTTAGAATAAAATACATAATAACCGTAAGTAGAAATTTTTGAAAGTGAAAGTTCTTATTTTTGGCCAACGAGTGTAGTTTTTTATGTGCTCAGTTAAATATATGGCAGGAGATTGAGCTCAAATTGAGGGACCTGATATTTGATGGTAAAAAGGAAACAAAAACCATACATTTTAGTATATGAAGAAACTAATACATGTTTTTTTAAATTGTTACATCGCTTTTAATTGAGAAATATTTTAAACAAGTTTTGTTATGTAAGAGTTAGTAAAGTATTATTTGCTCCGAAACAACTATTCCTTTTACGAAACTTATGACATATACAAGTATTATAGATAAAATGTATTATAGATAAAAAAAAGTAATATTTAGGCGATTTTTAGTATTTTCTCAAGGAAATGACTTTAAAATTTTTTATATTTAGAGCTCCAAAGTGAAACTTATTATACTTGTATTAGTGAAATATGAACTTCGCGCTTAAACTTCGAGCCTTTTTTGACGATGGGTTGTGAAAAAACTACACAAAATATTTGCACAAAATTTTTCTTATTTTTATTTTATTAACAAATACTTAAACTTGGATAAAGAAAAAAAAACAATAATTTTTTATAAAATGTTACTAACTCGACCTAGTAGCAGTAAATTTCAGCTTCCGAACATTGAAACCAAAATTTACATGCTCTGCAAAGGGTATATTAAGTTCGCCAAAACTAATCTATCAAATTCAAGTCCTTGTATGCACAACTTTTTTTTTAGAAAATATCATTACGAAATTTTACATAGATTATTATCCAAAGCAACACTATAATCTTCGAACGAATTGTTTAGATCGAATTGCTTTAGCATATAATTGTCATGCAAACTGAACGACCGGAATGTAGTGCTTGTATGGAAAGCTTTTTATTGTCCAAGACAACGGTGCAATCTCCGAAGAAATTGTTCAGATAGAGTCACTATAGCATATATGTGTAGCTGGCATACAAACTGACCGATTGAAGTTCTTGTAAGGAATCTTTTGTATTTGTGAATGGTGTTATAGCTTCGGTGTTATAGAAGTTAAAGTTTTTTCTTCTTTTATTAATTTTTCTTAAAATTTGGGATCATTATACGTTTTTTGATTATTTCTAAATAAATTTTTATTCTTAAAATGTATCTTTCGCAATTGACTAAGAAAGTTAGCAAAGGTAACCAAAAACGATTTAATTTACTATATTATTTCTCGAAAATTTTCATACATTCAATGACTTTGTTAATCTTAAATGCACAGAAATTAAATTTAATTTGGAATAAATTTATATATGACATACGAAAATAATAATTTATTATCAGTTTATTTACTTAGCGTTTATTATAAGTTCCATACCCTTAAATAATACAGGTCAGTGTATTTCGTTATGTGACATCAATAACCGATTATGTATTCTCATGCTGTATGACGTACGTACATATGTATATAATAAATACTTATACATATGTATATAATTATATTAAGCATATTCAACATAAACATACACGTATCAACAAAGCTCAAAGTATAATATTTTGTAACACAAATGCAACCCAATTATTTTTGACGTCACATTCTATTTTCTTGGGTTGTTGTTGCTACATTTATGCAGTATCTCACGCACTTGGTACAATCGTCGTATCCCACTGAATACAAACTGACTATCACTGAACACTTGACTATACCTCTATTGGTGCTTGGTAGTACTTAGGTTAGTGCGGCGCTCGTTTCCGCTTAAAAGCCGAAAGCTGCTTTGATTTCCCATAACCAATAATGTTAACTGACAGCGAATGCCAAAAAAAAAAAAAAGAAACAAAATAGAATTACCATAAAAAAAATACCTAGTATTCTAAATGTAAATATTTACCATTTTTATTCGTATACACAAAACTTTTTTCTTGGCTTGTGCTCAATTTGATTGCTTTGATTCCAAATCGATATTTGGTACCAGAGAAATGAAGTTTATTTATAGAAGTCATAAATTATGAATATGATTTACTAAAAATAACTTCTCAAAACCTAGAAAAAATGTTTTTAGTTAGTTATTCCTTTTCTCGAAGTTAGGAACGGAGAATATAAGCAGCTATATACTTTTTGATTTTACCTTAACTTGCAGAACAGTTCATTGGTTGGTTGGTTTAAGACAAATATCAAAATTTAACCCTACGGAAAGCGTCCGACAGCCAACAACTCATTGAATTTAACATATTTTTGAGCTAGGAGGACTTTATAATTTAGATTAGAAGATTTGTGGCCGCAGAAGATATTCCATATAAATAATCTTTTAAGAATTAATGATCTTCTGCGCATGGTCTATATTCCATCTCACTTAGTAAAAAGAAATACATTATTTTTGCATCAATATGAAGGTTTTATTTAATAATAGTTAGAATTATTTAATTTAGAAGAAATATGCTCCGTTTTATTCTATAACTTGTTGGTATTTTGAAAGTATATAATGCCACTCTCATCGCTATCGGCAAAAATCTGGGACAGTCGATTTTCACAAGCTTCTCTTGAGACACCAGCGAAATCATTCGTCATAGACAGCAACAGATAGAATAGTTAACACTTCGTGCGAGGTCCAAACTATAAGATGGATACATAAAAACATTTCAAGCAAGCTTTCGGGACTTCTCTCTCGTATTGGCCAAAGCTGACGTCTAAGCGATTGCTTCCTTCACATGACCCAATCGTTGACTAAACTTAAGAGTTCGGCCGTGGATGAGCAGCTCATAGTAGATGATTCTCTGCCAATTCCACCAAACATTCAGCAAACCCCTCCTGACCCTAAATCCTGTATTGGCCAATACTACATCCAACGCTTCCTCACAGCGATTCGACTACGAACATATTCGTTTGAGTTTGTCGTTAATGTCCCAGTGAAAATCGGGTGCATTATAGAAACGGGAAACACGAAACCAAAACTGCGCATGATTGACTCGTACAGTATTAGAATCATAAACATTGTTCATATATTTTGTCTAGAGAATCACATTTTCGATGCATTTTTTTTTCTTTGACGCGTTAACATTTTCGAATGAATTTCCAATTTTCTTCTTATTTAACAGCTTTAGAAAAAAAAATGTGTGTATAAAAATATATTTATATTCAATAAAGAATATAATCTAAACATTTAGATATAAATAATAATGTAAACACAGACAACCGGCGTAAAGATAACAGTGATAAAATAGTAAACTTCCGTCATTAAATGGTGATAACGAGCTGACAATAAATAACAATTCCCCACATTATGGTTATTTCTTCTTATACAAATATAATATACATATGTACATATGTAGATATAATCGGCGTTAAACAAAGCGAGTGATTTCACACACATTTATATGTACTCTAGATAAAATAATATATACTTGTGTTATTATGTATATATTATTATTATACCCTCATACATAGATTTGTTAGTGTCTGTATAATAAAATATATAAAAAAATGAAATAAATGTAATATATATAAATATGTATATATATAAAAACTATAATAAATGAATAAAGCAGTAGATCGCACCTGTTTATCAATGTTTATATCTTAATATATACATAAATAAAATGTCACAACAAACATACTGATTGAAATGAGTATGCTTGTATATTTTTATGTCAGACTGTATATACAAGTATGAAATAAACAGCTAAAAAGCGCCCACAACAAATAATCACTGCATAAATAACAGTAAGTGGTGAGGAAAGTTTATGTGAACTCGCTTTGAACTCGCAGCAGCGATAAGTTTTGCTTAAGTAGCATGTTTGGCCAAGGCTTTTGATTTTATAAATACATTTTCTTATTTACATATGCAAATGCGTACATGCGCCTGTTTTGATAAGCGTGCTTTTTATCTAAGTTTGAGCAAGCTAAGTGAAAGAAAAGATATGTTTATGCCATACATGTATACACTAATCAGCAACAGCTCAGTTTCAGTCTTTTTAATACCCTAAACAAGTATGCATATTATATATACATATGTATATTTTACCACGAAGTTTGTAACCCACCCAAAAGGAAACGTCGTATAAACTACATTTATTATTTATTTATCTTGAAAAAGTATTTTTATTGAGTTCAGTTCCAAGTAAACAAATTTGTTATCCTACTACTATACCTAGCCTCAATACGATGGTTTATAACTATTGTGCGCCTAAAAATATGCAAACTCCGTATTGCATCCCATTAATCAGCCTTTTTTTTTTAATGGGCACTCCAGAAACCAAAAATCAAAGATTTGTAGAGATTTTACTAAATTGCCGGCAGTTCGAGTTTCTTAGATCCTAAACTCCGAAAACGTTTACATTGCCGAAAAATCCTACTTAAATTTTGTTCTGCAGCTTTTAAGAACAAGTTGTCTCGAAAATTTTGATATACTGCACATTCTTCTGACAGTTTCATAAAATACTGTATGTTACGCAAAGCATTCAACAAAATTTTGCCTACATTTCGGAGCGCACAAACCAAAATTTATAATGAAGTGACCATAAAAAATTAAGGGGATGGACGCATACAATTTTGATGAAATATTGAATTAACTGTATTTTTACTTTCAAAAGCCACTCTTTTGCAAAAGTTGTAGATTCTTAATTCTTAAAATAATATCAACTAAATTTATTGTCTCAAACCAGTGTTGTTTATTTATAATTATTTATCAGCATGGAATATCAATACTGGTAAGACAGAGTTGAGGAAATTAGGGCAGACCGTAGACCTTTATCAAATTATTTCCACATATAAGCAGCTATATACTTTTTGATTTTACCTTAACTTGCATAACAGTTCATTGGTTGGTTGGTTTAAGACAAATATCAAATTTTAACCCTACGGAAAGCGTCCGACAGTCAACAACTCATTGAATTTAACATATTTTTGAGCTAGGAGGACTTTATAATTTAGATTAGAAGATTTGTGGCCGCAGAAGATATTCCATATAAATAATCTTTTAAGAATTAATGATCTTCTGCGCATGGTCTATATTCCATCTCACTTAGCAAAAATAAATAAATTATTTTTGCATCAATATGAAGGTTTTATTTAATAATAGTTAGAATTATTTGATTTAGAATAAATATGCACCGTTTTGTTCTATAACTTGTTGGTATTTTGAAAGTATATAATACCACTCTCATCTCTATCGGCAAAAATCTGGGACAGTCGATTTTCACAAGCTTCTCTTGAGACACCAGCGAAATCATTTGTCATAGACAGGAACAGATAGCATAGTTAACACTTCGTGCGAGGTCCAAACTATAAGATGGATACATAAAAACATTTCAAGCAAGCTTTCGGGACTTCTCTCTCGTATTGGCCAAAGCTGAATTCTAAGCGATTGCTTCCTTCACATGACCCAAAATCCTGGATTTTCCGCCGTTAGCGCTTGCTCACAGCGAGTCGACTACGAACATTTTCGTTTGAGTTTGTCGTTAATGTCCCAGTGAAAATCGGGTGCATTATAGAAACGGGAAACACGAAACCAAAACGGCGCATGATTGACTCGTACAGTATTAGAATCATAAACACTGTTCATATATTTTGTCTAGGGAATCACATTTTCGATGCAATTTTTTTTTCTTTGACGCGCCAACATTTTCGAAAGAATTCCCCATTTTTTCTGTTATTTAACAGCTTTAGAAAAAAAATGTGTGTAAAAAAATATATTTATATTCAATAAAGAATATAATCTAAACATTTAGATATAAATATTAATGTAAACACAGACAACCGGCGTAAAGATAACAGTGATAAAATAGTAAACTTCCGTCATCAAATGGTGATAACGAGCTGACAATAAATAACAATTCCCCACATTATGGTTATTTCTTCTTATACAAATATATTATATGTACATATGTAGATATAATCGGCGTTAAACAAAGCGAGTGATTTCACACACATTTATATGAACTCTAGATAAAAAAATATATGCTTGTGTTATTATGTATATATTATTATTATATCCTCATACATAGATTTGTTAGTGTGTGAATAATAAAATATATAAAAAAATGAAATAAATGTAATATATATATATATGTATATATATAATAACTATAATAAATGAATAAAGCAGTAGATCGCACCTGTTTATCAATGTTTATATCTTAATATATAAATAAAAAAAATGTCACAAGAAACATACTGATTGAAGAAAGTATGCTTGTATATTTTTATGTCAGACTGTATATACAAGTATGAAATAAACAGCTAAAAAGCGCCCACAACAAATAATCACTGCATAAATAACAGTGAGTGGTGAGGAAAGTTTATGTGAACTCGCTTTGAACTCGCAGCAGCGATAAGTTTTGCTTAAGTGGCATGTTTGGCCAAGGCTTTTGATTTTATAAATACATTTTCTTATTAACATATGCAAATGCGTACATGCGCCTGTTTTGATAAGCGTGCTTTTTATCTAAGTTTGAGCAAGCTAAGTGAAAGAAAAGATATGTTTATGCCATACACATATATACACTAATCAGCAACAGCTCAGTCTCAGTCTTTTTAATACCCTAAACAAGTATGCATATATATATACATATATATGTTTTACCACGAAGTTTGTAACCCACCCAAAAGGAAACGTCGTATAAACTACATTTATTATTTATTTATCTTAGAAAAGTATTTTTATTGAGTTCAGTTCCAAATAAACAAATTTGTTATCCTACTACTATACTTAGCCTCAATACGATGGTTTATAACTATTGTGCGCCTAAAAATATGCAAACTCCGTATTGCATCCCATTAATCAGCCTTTTTTTTTAATGAGCACTTCAGAAACCAAAAATCAAAGATTTGTAGAGAATTTACTAAATTGCCGGCAGTTCGAGTTTCTTAGATCCTAAACTCCGAAAACGTTTACATTGCCGAAAAATCCTACTTAAATTTTGTAGTGCAGCTTTTGAGAACAAGTCTCGAAAATTTTGATATACTGCACATTCTTCTGACAGTTTCATAAAATACTGTATATTGCGCAAAGCGTTCAACAAAATGTTGCCTACATTTCGGAGCGCACAAAACAAAATTTATAATGAAGTGACCATAAAAAATTAAGGGGATCGACGCATACAATTTTGATGAAATATTGAATGAACTGTATTTTTACTTTCAAAAGCCACTCTTTTGCAAAAATTGTAGATTCTTAATTCTTAAAATAATATCAACTAAATTTATTGTCTCAAACCAGTGTTGTTTATTTATAATTATTTATCAGCATGGAATATCAATACTGGTAAGACAGAGTTGCGGAAATTAGGGCAGACCGTAGACCTTTATCAAATTATTTCCATATTTATGTACACACATATAAATATACTGTATAAATATACATACTTGTATTCTGAAAAAACTCGGTTAATAAACTTTATATACATACAAACTCAACATCTGCCCATAATTACCACTAAAACCATCCTCATAAAAGTTGCAACCAATGCCCGCGCTGTCGCGATAATAGCAAAAAGTTACCCCAAATTTGTACTATTTTTTTTTAACCTTATCTAATCAGTTCTACGTGCTCTCTATATACATATAAATAAATGCTTGTGCTTGCATTGTCGAATATGCCATACTACATATGCTAATGAAAAATATATTGTAATAAAGCTCATCACTTATGATTGCCATTGCGCTCAGAGGGTTTGCGCATATGACGGGGCATCGTCGATAGCAAATCTGCTCTTTATTGCATTACTAAAGTTTTTTAGGTGCTTAGAGATAAGAAGCCTCAAACACGATTTACTTTTGACGATTTATTTTTGTTTGTCTTTGTTTTTTTTTTCTGTAAAACTTATTTTTCGCTTAAGTTGACACACTTTAAATGGGGTTGACCGAAAACAGTGGCAAAGAAAAGTAAAGAAAAAATTTAAAATAAATAATAGAGAATTATTTTGAGGGTATACAAGTAGTTGAGAAGTATGTATGTACTTTGTTCATATGAACAAGTTAATGAATAATAATTAATATAATAATTATTTCACCTCTTTTTGTCTTTCTTTCAGTATTTAATATGGAGCTTCATTTGGATTGGTTGGAATGCTTTTCTCATATGCTTCTATCTGAATGTAGGCATATTGGATCGGGTAAGTTAAACTTATATTTGATAGTATACATAAATATAACAAAGTTTATATAAGGAAAATAATATTCAAATTATTTGAAAAAGAAAGTATTCAACAGAGAAAGCGTTTTGAAGTATAATAAAGACATATACAAAAAATACTTGAGATAATAAAAAAAACAAAAAAACTAAAAAAAAGTAATTAAATTAAAAAAAAATTTAAATAAAAGAAATTTAAAAAAAATTTCCATAATCCAAAGTTTTTCCGAAAAAAATTTTGTAAGAAATATATTATAAGATTTGAAAATTATATAAATTAAATAAGTTGTAAAAAATAATTTAAAAATATTTTTCACAACTAAAATTCATAGAAAATCCAATTATATTCTATTAAATTATCTTCTACTAGAATAGGTTTTTTTTTTTAATTTTGTTATTGTGCATACACTAATTAAGTGTATCAGAAAGATCTGACTTTTTAATGCGTTGCTGAGCTTGTATAGAGAAAAAATTTGGTAAAAAATAAAAAAAAATATTTTTTTTTAAAAATGTCATAAAAATCCAAAGTTTTTGTAATAGTTTTTTCGAAAAAAAAAATTGCTATAGGAAAAATGTAATAAGATTTAAAAAATATATAAAATATATGAGCTGTAAAATAAAAAAAAATATCTCTAAAAAATTTAAACAAAATGTAATTACAAAGTTTTTGAAAAAATTAAAAAAAATGATGAAAGATTATTTTCCATAAAAAAATTAATTAAAAAAATTCAATTTTTTTCGAATATTTTTTTTTTTAGAAAAATTTTGCTATGGAAAATTTATAATATGGTTTAAAAGTTTAAAATATATATTTAACACAATTTCAGCAAAAATCAACTCAAAAACTTTTGGAAAAAATAAAAAAAGTTTAAAAATATTTTTTATTCAAAATAATAATAATAAACTTAAACTTGTATGTAAAAAATATTTTATAAATAGTAACGGGAAAAAATTTGAAAACAAGAAGTTATAAAAATAGTTTGTATACATTTTTTTTTTTAATAAAAACAATATATATGTATTTTTTTAATTTTGTGTAAAAATTTTGTTATAATAGGGTTTTTTATAACTAACATTTTTTTCCCCTTTTATTAATCAACTCCGTATTGTTTTTTTTTATTTTTTAAATTTTTAATTTATAATTGCTAACTTTGTATATTTCTCAAAAAATATTTTTCATAAAAATAATATATAAATTTTCTAATATTTTCTGTATTTTCCGTCATATTTCCCCCCAATCTCGTTTTCATCAATAGGACAGCGACCTGCTAAATTTGGGCACCGGTAGCGTCTCTTGGTTCGAGGTGAACGGTTATGGTTGCAAGCCAACATATCCAATCAATATCACCTCCGATGATCCATTTCGTCCCATACGTCCGGAACGTGTGGATGATTGTTTAGTAGATTATACTATAGTCGAAATTGTACAGTCGGGTGTGCAATGCGCTTTAGCGGTGAGTAAAATTTCATAATTTAATAACTTTATTGTAATATTTCTGTAGTATATATAATAAAATAATAATTATATTAATACTATTTATATTTACATACAAAAGATCTTAACAAAAGCTCATACATTAAAATTAAACTCAAAATAAAATGTTTCTATATTAGGCTAGAGCATAATAGCGATATGTAGTTTACAATAAAAAAATATGTGTGAACAATATAAAAGTGGTGCAGCAGTAATTTCTTTCCCTTTCTATGCGCTATTACTATCGCAACCGCTTCACTGTGTGCTTAGCCTAATATAGTTGCAATTATTTTTCGATTATATGTATGTAATATTTTCTATTGTGTAATATATTTTAATATCTTCTTTTTATATTTACTTTCTCACCTTTTTTTCAGTTACTTGGTATTTTAGGCGCCATATTAATAAGCTACATATTCCTCGATGAAGATGACAGATGTAAGTTGAACGATTTTAATTTATTACATATATTTTTTAATAAAAAAAATTTGGTAGAAAATAATGTGTGTCAATTAAGAGGTGTGAAAAAATTTGGTGCAGGTTTCGACTTTTATAAAATAAAAAAATTATCAAAAATAATTTTCTATGCGAAGTGTCCTGTAAAAATGCCACTCGTTGAAACATAACAAATATTAGAAATAATAACAAAAATGCCCAAAAAGCAAAAAAAAAAAAAAATTGAAAACATTTTAATAAAAAATAAAAATTGAATAAGAATAAAATAAGGAAAAAAATAATAAAATAAAGAGAAATTAAATAAAAAATATCGCGCTTGAAACTTTTGAACTGCTGAATTTCACAAAACATTTATAAAATATAAAAGGCCTTAATATAAAAATTATTATAATATTATGAAATCTAAAAAATTTAATAAATGCAGCATTTTTTTTTTGTAAGTTAAGGCTTTATATTTCCGAATTTAATATGAGCAATAACGCAAAAACAACAATATTAAGATAATATATCGATTATACGTATCATAAGGCACTTGAAGTACTTACTCTTAGTACAAAACGATTATTTATTGATAAATACCGTTATAAACTGTTATTATTTCACAACTTAAATGATTTTCTTGCGACAAGTGTTCCTCTCCAATGATTAGTGATTCCTTTATCCGATTTTCAATACTCTTCTTCAAGAAATCAGCTTTCCATATGTCGTATGCATCTAGTCAAGTCTTAATAAAACATCACATGTACTTTTACCACTTTTACTACTATGATCTGTTAGGTCTCAATTTGCTGTCATCATTGCGTTATCATTTAAATGGACTCTAGAAAGCCAATATGTATTAAGTTGGAAGCCACTCGCTTCACTTGCAACTCAACTTCACAGTTCCACCAAAGCACTGTCTTTTTCATGACATATGTTTGCGTTCGCTTTCAATAGGAAGCAGTTTGCTGCAAAAATCCCTCGCTCAATGACACCGTAAAACAAACATAATAACCCCGAAGTGATGTGCGCCAACCAGCAGTATTATCGACATCACTCACCTTCATATTGACATTAGTGTCAAACTAGAAACTTTTCACTTTCACAACCCCACGCTCCACCGCATTAAACTCATTTTCATGTTCAGTTTCGTTTTCATTGCCATCAACAGCGCAACCGTGGCGGCGGGCGACAAAAAAGCTAGCTAAATCCAACTCCCACACACATTTGTACGCATAAAGTCGGCTATCAGTTGTTGAGCCATTTTTCCGGCCGCGCACACACATACCCACACACACTTATTTGCATAGCCTTTTCTTTGTGTGACAGTCGAGTCAAATGCTGCTTTACAAATCAATTCAAGTGCAGGCAGCTAACTATCTCAGCATAAAGGAAATTTACATTGCCATTCATTTCGCCGTCAACGACGCTTTTGTACCGCAGTTTCATATGTATGTGTGTGTTCTCTTTTGTTTGTGCTGCTGCTGCTGTTGTTGTTGTTGGTGATTTCCAAGTGAAATGGGTAGAAAAATGCTCATCAGCAGTCAGTTGCAGCCAGTCGCACCCAACTCAAAATGTCAAGTATGAATGAAACATATACTCGCCAATACATACAGACATGCACTTTTTATAGGCGAACCAGCTTGCCTGCCGTGCGCCTGTAGTTCACTTGTGTAGATGATGTCACTGAAGTAGCAGAAAGTTCTCCAAAGCGTGCGTCTCAGTACTTATCCTTGCGCCACAGACGGGGCGTGTGACTGAAGCAGTTGAATGTGTTAGATATAATTCAAATAAATGTTTATACATACAAATATGTATTAGGGTGGTTTATAAAAAATAATTTAAAAAAAGTTTTCAGTCTCAATTCTCATATTTTTCGGGAAACTAATAATATAATACATTAGGGTACGACTATAAAATTAAGAAATATTATACGCTTTTGACTTGAGAGTCACTCTAATTTACATATAATTGTATTTATATGAGTCGATTAAGAAAATTCTGAAAGAATTGCATGAAATTTCTATATTTTAGCAAAATATTTTTTAATTTTTCATATAATATTTCAACTATTTAAAAAACAACGAAAAAGTATCTGAAAACTATATAATTTTCTTTAAAAATTATAAACCTAAGCATCAAATCTGAACTATTCAGTTAAGTTCTTTAATATAAATTAGAATGTGAAGGTAGAATTGTAGATTTTTGCTTAAAAAACATAAGTCGATGTAAAAAATTCGGATTAAGTTGTTTGAAGTTTCAATATTTTTATAAGATATTTCTTAATCTTTCATAAAATACAACTAATTTAAAAAAAAAAAACCCAAAAATTAGTGAAAATTATAAAATTTTCTTTAAAAATTACAACCCTAAGGCTTAAAACATATTTAGTTGTGTTCTTATACACAATTTATATTTTTGTTGAGTATATGCGCAAATAGCGTTCCAATATGTCAGCTGGCGTAGTTCCCGCCCTTGTCTCGTGTATAATAATTTTACCTTGTACGGTGCGTATGCGTGACATATTTTGACAACGATTAAAAGCCTTTGGTGCTGGTTGTGTCGACATAGTTTCAGCTTGTAAATAGTGATGTGCACTCATAGATGCATGCAAAGCATTGTGCGAGGGAATAGAGCCCTACTATTATTTTAGGGTGTTTTAACAAGTATTAACTATTTCTTTACATACCTTTGGCAATAGTAGAAGTAGAAGAAAAGAAGAGAAATTTAATTTTACTAAGCTTTAAAAATTTCTTCCAAAATGTTTAAGAGATATAATATTTGTAGAAAGGCCACAGTTGATAATTTGTTTTACGCTAAAGTAATTGAACTAATCGCCCATAATATTATGATAATTTACAATTTATAAATATAAATATAGGTTCTAGTTATTCCATCTATCAAATTTTCTTCAATACCTTTCATTTGATAGTAGTATTGATTTTTATGTCAATTTGCTTAAATTTTTGTTTAACAGGTGGCAACTCTCCCGAAAAAGATATTCCTCAGAAACATATCTTAAATATATTTTTTAATATTCGTATTTCAACACCGCACTTTTATATAACTTTTTATTTATAAAAAATTGGAAATAAGTGGCAACTCTTTCTAAAAAAATTGTTGATTCTTAAACATCTCTACTTTGGTATCCAATATTTTAATATTGAGTTTATTTTGTCAACTTGTTTCAATTTGTATTTTAAGCAGGTGGCAACTATGCACTAACTTAACTACAACAGAATTATTTGTTAAACATATCAAGTTTTTTTCGCGTCCCAAATTAAATATTTCACCTACAACTAAAATTGAATGATATAAATAATTGCAAACAAGTGGCAACTCTTCTCAAAATATTTCTAGCTATGATGTTTGTTAAACCTCTTTAATTGGATACCCGTATTGGAGTTATTACAATTATTTTATACCATCAAATTTTAGTTTAATTTATTATTTAATTTGTTTAAATAATTTTTTAAAGCAAATGGCAACCCCCCTTTTAAAAATTTTTAACCGTAAACTTACTGAAATATTGTAATCGATTGTTTTCAGTTGCATGTTAAAAAAACTTTTAACTGCACATTTCTCTATTATCCATATTCTCATATAACCACCTGATCAGATTTGACCCGGACAAAACAAATCTTTGTTATCGGCTTCAAACTAGGCTACTGAGGCAATACAAACATAGCAACGCCTAATCCAATTTTCTATAGATTTGTTATTAACCTCGGCTTGGTTGGCTTTCAGAACCGTCAGCGAATTGTGGTTTCTTCGGTATCGGTTCATTTGTGGAGCGCCTATCGTTTCGCCTTTAACAATTTAAGAAAATAATTTTTATCGATTCGGTATGTGCACGCGGAATCTTTCTTAGAAATTCGACATCTAAAAATGTTTTATATTGATACCCATCTTTAAAACCTTGATTGGTAAAAAATAGTTTTTATTAAATTGATTTTATTAAATTTAAATCTCAGTTTTTATGTATCTAGTCCTTCTGTCTGCGGATAGTAACTAGTTGAACTATTGGTTCTAAAAGTATACAAATTTCCTACCAGCAATCTAAATCCCGTCTTATGGAACAATTGCGCAGCAACGAGATGCCTATTCCTCAAAGCGTTTGTGCGCCTGTTACAGCCAGCGGCACTAAGGGTACAGTAGCCGACTACGCACACAAGCTTTACGAGTAAACTGCAGAGCTTGCACAACAATTGCTATTTACGCCCCCAAACGAACACGCACATATACATATCTACAAACACATGCACACAAATCGACAAGGGAACACATGTTTACCGAGTTTTTGCTTATTCATGGTTTGAACTGCTGAGCCTTTGTAGGCAAACAAATGTGCGGAAGTGAAATCGCAATTTTCCAACGAATGCATGCGAAGAAAAGTGAAAATCGCTTAAAAGGAAAATATCAAAGATTGTGAAGCTAAGGAAAAAGAACGTTGCACGCAAGTTAAAAAAGCGTAAAAGTATAGATGAATACAAGGGCGTAGAAAAAAATATTCAAAGAAAAACTAAAAGTAAAAACAAATTGCAAATGCAAGAAAAAGGGTGCGCAAGCGAGCATGCAACCGTGCTGCCCCTGATTTGTATGCACAACTGCCTTGACATGCATTCGAGCAACATGCCGTTACATATATGCATGAACACATATATATATGTACAAGTATATGCGTGTGTGTTTGTTTGTTCCTTTATGGGTTCTTGCACTTTTTTGGCATTTCACTGCCAATGGCTTCTTCTTTACGATGCTTTCTCCAGCACGATTCTTGCGTGCCGTGCCTTGTTATGCAAACACATACAAATTCACATGCATACATGCACATATACACGCATGACAAAAAAGTGTGCACGCAGTGATATGGATTTTATAAGATTACCGACAGCAAGGCGCTCATAATCTCACAGCAAACACTTGCTTGTTTGCTGACGGCCACACGCCGTTGGCAGTGACAAATTATGTGTCCTTAAGCGAGATAAAAATAACTGTATGTA